CGAGGGAACCATCCCATCCCACAAGGGGGAGGGGAGGGGCCCCACGGGACACCCCGCTCGCAGTGGGGGTTGAAACCCCACTCATCCCGCACGGGTAGGGAGCAAAGCTCCCCCTATCGGCGCCGTGCCACCGGGCAATAGAATCGGGTTGCCGTCCCCTACCGGCACAGTGGAGAGCCGCTCCGTACGGAGCAGCTCCCCCAGGGACCCACTCCGAGGAGTGAGCCCCCTTGGGGTGCCGGACTCGGTTGTACAGACTCCTCCTATCTAACGGAGGAGTCCGTACAGGCCGCCTTAGACCCCCGTGGATCGCCGAAACGATCCACGGGGGAGCCCCCTCACTGCGACAAGGTGGCGGCCCGCGAGGGGGATCTTAACCTAACCTAACCCTAACCCTAACCTTTTTTTTTTTTTTGTTGTCGAGGAGGAAATCTTCAAAAGACGCCCGGGGAACCATCCCGGGGCAGTGTCGGATTCGCCGCCCCGAACCGAAGTTCGGTCCGGCGCCTACCGACTAAAACCTCCCCGTGTCACACCAAGACCTTCAACGATGCAGGAGACGGAATTTGAACTCAGTACATCATCATCCCCTGCATCATCGGTCACGTCCGGTGCTCCGGATCCTGCTCCCACGTTGACAAGGAGGTGATGAGCCCCCCTGCGTCCCTCGCTGGTCGCTCTTGAGGCGTACCCCTTCGTCAGCGTTCCGCGACAGGAGGGAGCCAACTAAGCGGCTCCCCCGTCGCTGAACGCCGACTGACTACTGGCCCTCGGGCCTGACACAGGGTCGGCGGCGGTGCGAGGACGGGTCCTCCTCGGCAATGGGGCCTCTCCGCCCCCCGCCGAGGACCGGCCTCGCCCACGGATGGGCTCCAGTACGACCCTCGGGGAGATGTTCCCCGAGGGGACCGGCCCACCGGACTTAGCCGCCGCCCTGTGCCTCTTTTTTTCCGGGCTGTCCGGCGAACAGGACAGCTCGGGTGCCATGACGACGGTGTTGGTGTCCGAAGTCCGGCCACCGACACCGCCCACGTCGTCCTCCTCCCGCTCCACATCCATCTCCCCCTCACGAGGGGCAGACGGACCCACGCGTAACCGCGCCGGCTGGACCGGCCTACATACGCCGGCGGTACCTGCCCTGTGAGCACAGGGCAGGCCGCGGTCCGCACATACGGGACATCGCGGCTTGTCCTTACAGGACTGCCGCGAATGCCCGTACCTCCCGCAGTTGAAGCAGCAGCGGCTCCTATCCAAGGCGGAAGGACACCGCTGCTGCACGTGACCCAGGGCCATGCACCGGAAACAGCGAAGGGGAGCCCCCTTGAGGAGCTCTACCCTTGCCTTCGCTCAGCCCAGGCGCAAGTGCCCGGCTTTCGAGAGCGTAAAGCCCGCGTCAGCCGGACACCGCACCCAGACCGTCCCCAGACCGCGTCTGGAGAACCTCGCCACCCCCACGCGAACGTGGGAGATGATGCATAGGCCCTCCAGCGCGACCCTGGATCGAACGGCCGCAGCGTCGATGGACTCGTCGAAT